ACAATTGAGATTTCCTGTTCGAGTTCGTTGTGTGGCCTCAGATCCTTTGTATCCCCAAATCCAAAAGCCGAGGGGTCGACCTCGAGTCTCCCCTGGAGCTTTCTGCCAGAGGCTCCAGGTAGGACCGTTCTCCCCAGCTGCAGTGTACAGTACATTTTTTACATCTGGTCCGGTCCGGACTGGTCCAAGGGCTGCTGCGTGAATTATCTCACGTTTAATTTGCTCAAAGGCTTTTTGTTGCTCAGGGCCCCATTTAAAATCATCCTTCTTCTGGGTCACATGATACAGAGGGCTTACAATCGAACTGTAATTTGGGATGTGCATTCTCCAGAACCCCACAGCACCCAAGAAAGCTTGCGTTTCTTTCTTACTAGTTGGTGGAGACATTGCTGTTATCTTGTTGATCACATCTATGGGGATCTGTCTACGTCCATCTTGCCATTTTATTCCCAAAAATTGAATATCCTGTGCAGGTCCCTTGACCTTACCCCGTTTTATGGCAAAACCGGCTTTCAGCAGGATTTGGATTATTTTCCTCCCTTTCTCAAAGACTTCTTCTGCTGTATCACCCCACACAATAATGTCATCAATGTATTGCAGGTGTTCTGGAGCTTGCCCCTGTTCCAGTGCAGTCTGGATCAGTCCATGGCAAATGGTAGGGCTGTGTTTCCACCCCTGGGGCAGTCGGTTCCAAGTGAACTGGACACCCCTCCAAGTAAAAGCAAACTGTGGCCTGCACTCTGCTGCCAAAGGAATTGAGAAAAATGCATTGGCAATATCAATCGTGGCATACCACTTGGCTGCCTTTGACTCTAGTTCATACTGAAGTTCTAGCATGTCCGGTACGGCAGCACTCAATGGTGGTGTGACTTCATTCAGGCCACGATAGTCTACTGTTAGTCTCCATTCTCCATTAGACTTTCGCACTGGCCATATGGGGCTATTGAAGGGTGAGCGGGTCCTGCTGATCACTCCCTGACTCTCCAGTCTATGGACCAGCTGATGGATGGGAATCAGGGAGTTTCGGTTGGTGCGATATTGACGCTGGTGCACTGTTGTGGTCACAATTGGCACTTGCTGTTCTTTGACTTTCAGCAACCCCACAACAGAAGGATCTTCTGAGAGACCAGGCAAGGTGGACAGCTGCTCAATTTCCTCAGTCTCCAAAGCAGCAATACCAAAAGCCCATCGGTACCTTTTTGGGTCTTTGAAGTACCCTCTCTTGAGGTAGTCTATGATGAGGATGCATGGAGCCTCTGGACCAGTCACAATAGGGTGCTTTTGCCATTCCCTCCCAGTCAGGCTGATTTCAGCCTCCAGCACAGTCAGCTCTTGGGATCCTCCTGTCACTCCAGAAATAAAGATGGGTTCCACCCCTTGACAGCTTGATGGCACGTTGACAGCTTGATGACTGCTACTGCTGAACCCAGGACAGGGATGTTATTTAAAAATACAGAATCATTCAATATATATTTCCATATATTTTCAGGAGTTTACAGTTTCTCCAAACCCACAGACTTTTCACCTCTAGTGAGGACATCAGACATGTCATTTATGGGTTATTATACACAAGAGATTTTACCAAAAAAAAAAAAAAAAGTAAAAATAAATACTATTTTTGGATCTTATTAATAGCTCTTTTAAGAATTAGAATGCAAAGAACATATTTGTTTTGCGGTATTTAGTTAATTTCCTGATAAAGGACATTTTCTTCAGGTTTGAGGGAGATGGAAATGTAATCTATAGTATGCTGTTCTCTAGACAGAGTCATAGCCTCACTTTAAACAAGACAGAAGATTGTATTGTCAGCATCAGTTCCCAAACTTCCACAAGCTAAATACCATTTTCTGGTCAAAGATATTTATTGCATGTATTGACATGCTTCTAACCTACCTATGAAATATATTTAGAAACATACTCTGGTACTGATATTCTTGTAATAAGAGTATGCTACTCATTCAATCCTGCCGTTTATAAAAGCAGCATTCTCATAGAATCATAGAATTGTTAGGGTTAGAAAGGACCTTAAGATCACCTAGTTCCTAACCCCCTGCCAGGGGCAGGGACACCTCACTCTAGACCATGTCATCCAAGACTCCATCCAACCTGGCCTTGAACACTACCAGGGATGAAGCATTCACCAATTCTTTCGGCAACCTGTTCCAGGGCCTCACCACCCTCACAGTAAAGAACTTTCTTACACCTGACCTGAACTTTCCCTGTTTAAGTTTAAACCCATCACCTGTTGTCCTATCACTACAGACACTGATGAGGAGTCCCTCTCCAGCATCCAATTTTAATACAGTTAAGTCAATGTGCTTTTGGTTTCATATCCTGCAAAGCTGTATTATCAATACCAAAGGACATTTCTGTCTTTACTGTCAATTATTTGTGTCCTAATTGTACCTCAGTATAAGAAGCTAAAACATGCGAGCTAACCTCTACTAAACAAACTAGATTTCTTTTATCCAGGTTTTAAAATAAAGGCTTATTTTGATTAAAGAATTTTGATTCTTTTTGTAAATCACCTTGGAAGAGGTAAACTCTTTTTCCTGTAAATTGCTGGGTTAAAAAAAAATGCATAGATGCTTTCTGTAGTCTGCTTTCCTTTACAGGTTATGACATCAGACACAAATTAAAAAAAAAAAAAAGAAAGTAGAAATATGACTTGCTATAATAATTTATAATGTAAAACACATTTGCTGTGATACAAGAGGAACAGCTCTAGCTAAAAAGCTTCTGAAATCTTTTTGTAATTTTTGCTAGAAATTATGTGTTTCTTCGGGGCAAAGAAAGACATACAATAATGTGTAACATCATCATTTTTTTCCATAGTATAGTAAATACGATCATCCACACAGAAGACAGTCAATAAGAATCTCACATTATGATGCTCTCAGCTATCATCTGAGCTGAATGCCTGAAAAATAACCTTGCAACTTTTGAAATGCTATTTTCTCAGAGTAATACCATTTCTTAGATTAAATATAAAGGATTTGATAAATGATGACAAACCTTGAACTGATTAACAAATCTATTTGTCTTACTCACTGTTTTTCTTTAAAATAAAATTACATACACCTGAGAAATAAACTCAAATAGTTTCAATCAAAACCAGACAGGAATTGTTTCTGAGTAAAACTAAAATATTTTAGCTTTATAATTACAAATTGAGAGAATAATTATTTTATGGCTTTTTTTTGAAATGCTATTTCAAAATACTACTAAAAGCAGTACTACTAAAAGCACCATATAGATGGTTACTATCAGTATACAAAGTAAGCAGTAATACTTGTCATCAACTGTGATCAAATGAGAAATAAACACATTAAGAGTTATTTTTTACTGGTATTCTTTTGATGTATTTATTTTAGTAATTTAAAGCTATTATTAAAAAAGAATAGAAGAATTATTGAATACACAGCTTTCCCAAAGGACTTCAGAACTGGCATTAGTACTCACTGCTGCTATGGAAGCAATGCTTTTCTTTGTGATAAAATGACTGTACAGCTCTGACATTTGCCTGACCACACATATCATCATTATATCTATCCCCTGTAATGATCTAAAACTCAAAAAAATATAAGGTAGTATTTTACAAAATCACTACTAACTAATAGTTGGGAGATCTGACACTTCCAGAAATTCAATTATTCTTGGGTTTATTAGAAATCTGAATTCTACAAGCATAAAGCTATAAAAATAGACTGAAAGTCTCCTGCCTTCTTTATACCAAACAAGGTGTTTGAATTTAGTTAGTTTTCTATATACTCAAATTATACACAATCTAACAAATGGTACATCTCGGTTTGGATCAAAGCTCCAGCTTTCAAATTTATATCTACAGGCAGTTTTGATGATTAGGTATTACTGATTCTGGTTTTAAGTAAGGGAATGTAATTGATTACTTTCTGGTGTTAGCGCCAGCCCTCTTATGAATAAATAAATAAATAAAAAATAAAATAAAAAAAATATGTGCAGTCGTATACGTTTCCAACCCACGTCACCCTACCTGTGAGAAGTGTAGAAGATAATAAGGGAAAATACTACTCGATTAGTCTCAGACTAAAGCTTAATTTCATAATTACTGGAGAAGATCTGGCTAAACACAGGTATCTCCCGCTTTATCTCTGTAAAGGGAAGCTGATATTTATCTAATAGTTTGGTAATGCTGAGAAAATTATCCCATTAGAGACCTCCTGAAGTTAGGGAATCCTGCCTTGTACTGGAGATTCTGATTTTATTCTCCTTTGCTCACTGGTAACTTCAGCAGGATTTTCAGAGACCAAGACACACATCAAGTACATTTGACGGCTCAGGTGACACACACCAGTATCTGAACACTGGGATGCTCCACAAGAAGAAATTATGCAGTTAATTGATCGTAATGCATAACACAGACTTGTCTCAGAGTGCAAAGTGACAATACTTTAATGGAAGAAAACCTGAACATGAGTAAAGCAAAAAAGCTAATAGTGTTTCTGTTAGTATTAGACTTGCCCTTGTGCACTTGTCCACCAAAAACAGATGTCTTATTTTTAATGACTTTAAGATTGAAGACATGGACTCTAGAGTAATGCAAGTAATACCCAGCCTTAGACTTGGAAACTGCTTCTCTATCTCAAAGTTTTGAAAATATCTATGGCTCACTCCTCTCTACCCTTATTCAATAATTATACGAACTTCTCATTCATTATTCACAAAGTAACCTACAATATCTAAACATGCATAATTTCCAAGCTCAGATAAGGCAACCTTTTATTCTTTTCATTTAAAAATCAACCAACCAAAAAACACATGAAGAAAAAAAAACAACAGGAAAAAAAATCACCATCTCAATTTCTTAGCAATACAATCATCATGAATGTCTTGCTTTCCTCCCCCTCCTATTTCCCACAGTCCAGCTTTTTACAGAAGTTCTTCATTCAATAAAGAAACAGCATATTATGCCCCCAGATATTCAGAATTGTTATGGCAATCTGCCTGAATGTCTAAAATACCTCTGAGATGGGTCATGCCTCACAGCAGACACATCCAACAGAACCCCTGTACTATTAGGCTCTCATGTGTGAGTACAGAAGACAGAACCATCAGAGAACGATCAGCCTGCAAGTCTGCAATTCAAAGAAACCACTTTTAATAAAGTTTTGGCCTCAGCCTTCCTTGATAAACATGCTGTAAATTTAAGGTTGAATTCTAATGTGTCATTTAGGTTGAAAACTATAGCTCAAATGGAAAACAAGGTTTAAGGCACTGTAACAAAAACCCAATAAATTCAGTCAGTTCTGACTCCAGTACATTTAGAAGACGTCCTCTTTTAAACGCCCTGGAGAATGCGATTAATTTCATATTTTATTCCTGGCAAACCCAAGTCTTTCACATTCACTGAAAAATGTACGCATTTTAGTGTCACCCTGCTTTCCAGAATATACTTATTTCTACTACTGCAATGAAATATTTCTGTTTTAAACAAAATTGATGCTTATAAGATGGTTTCACATGCAATCGTGTCAGAACTACTTTGCCCTTCTTTGATTTTTTTGCAGTACTAATTCGCAAACAATGTTGATGAGGTTCAGTTTGAGCTTCTAGAAGAATTTTTGTTCGTACAGTGATTCCACTTAGCATAATGTTTGGTGGCAGTGGTGACTTTGTTGTTTATTGATAGCAGATTATTCATTACCAAACAATCATTTCTCTGAACATAACTGAAAACAGTTTGTCCTCTCCCAGGCAAACTACAACTGGGTGTAACTCGAACAAAGTACAATGTTAGCTTTACTGCTACTAATAGAGAAATGATTTATACATGCACAGCTATGTTTCCCAAAACGAGTAATGTTTTTCAGCTATTGTATCTGCATTATAACACAGAATATTAAAAAATAAATAAATTCTGCAATGTTTTATATAGGGAAATAAACTTTATGTGTAAAGCCCATTTTCCTCAACTTGTTAGACTGTATAACACACATATGACTTCCTCTAAAAGAAAACTTAACAGATGTCTTCAAGCTTTAGGTTTTTTTTTTTTTCCTAAGAATCACTTTCAAGGTTTGTGTTCTTACAGCAGAGTTGATGAAAATATGATTGCTTTTCATGACTCCTCCTTTGCTGCTGGGTAGGCACATTAAAAAGACATAGCTGTCTATCTCAATGTACACATGCCATAGTAAAATGTGTGTTATTTACTGATAAAAACCACATGACAGCAGTTTAAAACCAGGATTTATTCTGTCAATCAAATTAGGGAGGCAGAATATCCTCTATGCCAAGTGATTACTGTCTGGGGCTAAGTGTGGCGAACTGCCAGATCAATTATAACGGTAGAGAAGAGGAAATATGAAGACAGATTGGCTCAATTCTAAGCAGAAGCACCACTAAAAAAGAAACCCAGGGACATTTTAATGCAACATCCAATTACTTAGAAGTGCATCTTTGGTCTACTCTGAAGTTTTTATTTATATAGCTTCTTTCTACATTGAGTATAAAAAGAGAAATCAGAACAGAGTTGGACAAATCTGGTGTAAATAAAACCCATGCTGATTCCACGGACATAACCTTTATGTTGATGCTTTTGAGATGTATCAGTGTCATTTTTTTATGAGAAAAGCCAGAAATATCATGGGACAACACACTCAGAAGATATCCAATAAAATTTCAGATGTGATCACATTAATATATAACCATTTTCCCGCTTTGACCTGTAACTAATTTCAAGGAGAACAGAAAAAAAAAGCTAGATTGCCCTTCATACCCAAGCTTTTCCTCTGATATTCATTATTTTATGGATAATTTACCTTTCCAATGCTGGAGGAAAAAGGGTATTAGGTGGACTGGTCGATTAAAGCCACTTAAAAGTGATCTATGGTGTGAACTTTCTTATCATAAGAGGAAATTTTTTAAAAAAGCAGATAAATGTGTTCTCTGAGCCTTTTCATACTATTATTTTTATTGATAAAGGGATTCATCCTCTCAATTGCACATCTCGATTCCAGGTCCCTAAAACCAATGTGGGAAACACGAGTTTCCATGAAGAAGACAGACAGTTTAGTATTCTGGAGGATAAATTCATCAGCCTTTTATGGTCTGAGCAGTCTTCAGATGAAGCCGAGAAGAAATTGATCCAACTCTGCTACAAGTTATTAAGGTTGATGCCCCACAAGTGGTGCAAAATTAGTGTCTGATCATTATTTCATAGTGCAAATGACATTGTTTTGAATGAGACATCGTCGCAGACCCTGCAGCCTTCATCATCATAAACAGCATCTAGCCAAGTTAAAACTGAGTATCTAGAAATGGATACAAAATAGTAACATTAAATAAAGATTTCATACTGGAATAACTGCATGATAATTGCTATTTTGCAAAACCTTGAAACTAATTAAAATTCACAGAGGTACAAAAATGTGAAACTATGAAGTTCAAGAGATTTGCACCAGAGCAAAGGGAAAATTAGGCCCATTATTTTGCAGCCTTGACTACTAAGATGATGCATAATACATCTTAAAGATATCTTATGCTAGACTTTGAAGAAGATTTATGACAAAAAAAAGGAATGAAATAAGTTTTCTACTGAGACTCAGAAATGGTAAAAAGGCACAAAATGTAATAATATGAGAGCCTTAATATATTTTATTCATTAGGAAGAATGGTTCATCTTTAACAGAACAGAGATTTAAAATGAGTGATACTGCCATACAAAACCCTGAAAATAAGCACAGGAGAACCTAATGTTAAGCACTGCCAGCTGGTACTCCACTTTCCATTTTTTAACAAACCATTATGAAAACATATTTATCCTACATAAATCTATCTTAATAATCTAACATATTCAAAAGAGAATTACAATTTTATACAATATATATAACTGGTTAACTGATGGCTTCACATCAGGAATCATCATGCCCTGGAGGATTCTTTGTTACAGGGCCATTTAGTCTAACATAAGAAACTGGAGGGAAAATACCATTCAGCTAACTGTAGCTCTTTGTAACTGTTCAGTTTCAAGCCAGCCTGTCAATGTGTGGAATTCATATTTCTATCTTGAACATATAAGCAGGTAAATATAACTCCCTCTATTTCCACTTTATAACTGCGGTATACAAAATCAGGAAGACCAATGCTGCAATGCCATCATTATTTTTGCCGTTATTCCTTTAAAAAGGATACTGAAAACAAATGGAAAGAAAGCTGTTTGAATGATTAAAAATTAGAAATAAACTCCAACATATAAAGACAACAAAACTGCAATCTACATTTTTTTCATCCATGAAGAGGTTAAAATTTACTCAATCGTCAATGAATAGAGACTAAAGACTTTTTTTTTTTTTCCTGCTAAGTACAACTAACCCCTGAAATAATTTACCTGGGGTACGCAAGGGATAATCCATGATTTGAAGTCCTTAAATTATGACCAGACAACTGTCTTGAAGAAATGCTACAGTCCTGATAGAAGGTTTGGGTATAAACCAGAAACTAGTAAGCAGCACTCTGACCTCTGCTCAATAGATCAAGCCTGAAGATCGCCAATAATCCTGGTATTAAAATCTATGCATTTTAAATGGCTCTCCACTTTAACATCTACTTTTTCTAATATATTTCAGGACCCAGAGTGATTACTCTCCTCTTATGACTGCCTTATCTCTATCACCACTAACTCCTTTCTCTTTAAGGGAATTTCATTTTCCAGATTAAAAAAAAAAAATAAATAATCAAGCTACGTTTCTCACAGTATGCAACTGAAGCTGATCCTGTAATTAAATCAAGTGCAGAGCAACTTCTAAAACCACTCAGGCTTAAAAAAAGTATGTCTCACATGCTAGGCCAATAGTAGAACATATATGTGCAGAAGCTGAGGCCTGCCATCTGCTTTCTAAGACAATGCGAATGAACATCTGTCTGAAGTACTTGGCAAGGTCCCTTTCTTCTGCCCTTGCAAGCCAGGAGCACTCTCCCACTGACAGATTTCTAAAGAAAACTAAGGAAGCCACCTGCAGTTTCCTGTATTACTGATCTGGCTCCCCCGGTTCTGCCTCTACCTAAATCACCTGGGGCATATGGTCAGTAGATATTCACCTGGGGCATTCCAGTGGATATTTAGATCAGCTGAGCCCTTCCTGAACCTAGAGATGAGGTTTCCCCACAAAATTAAGGATACGTAATTCACACAGGAAATGATGTAATTAAGGATGCATACATGTGCTCAGCTACACGTGCTATATTTACAGGCTAGATAAGCTCTTTAATTATAATATCAGGTCATGGTTCACAGATGTTAAATAACTCGTTATGATTCTAACGTTGCATCCCCATGTGCAGGAAATTTAGTTTATGTGGAACTATTATTTATATGATTTCATCAGGTCTCTTGTATGCTATGGTAATTCAATCTTTCTAACAGTTTCAAGGGACCAAACACATCAAAATAAATTCTTTAAGAAATAGCATTGGTTTTTAAATTTGCTTACTATTAAAATATCTAGTCATCTGTTGAAATGTTAGTTTGGATTTCTTTTACAGTGTAATCACTAAGGATTAAGTTGCTCATTGACTCACTTCAGGCAATCAGCCTTTAAGTGTTGTAATGTAACACCATATCGATATCTGAAATGAAATGTATTGCTATGGTCATCAGCAAGATTTCTAACAATTAAAATAGTTACTGTAATTGTCAAGTACTAATAACTATTAAAGCACTGACTTGGTAGGACCTTTTTGCCCTTCCTGGAAATTCCATTTTTATCCATTTCATTGGTGTAAATCAGACAAGTGCACCTCTAAGAGCTGTTCCTAGCCAGATGAAAAAAGGAAAACCAAACAAACCAAAACAAAAAAAAAAAAAAACAATTTTTCAACTGTTAGGAAAAAATAACTAAAAAACATGAAGAAAAAGAAGTGTCTACTTATCAATCAAATCCTTTCTAAAAGCCAGAATACCAGTAATTCTGCCACTGATTTTTCATTGTTGGTTTGCGTTGAAATAAGGGACAAAGTGGCATACTCCTACCTTTCCATGCATAATTTCCACAAAGAAATAATAAATTCTCTCCTTGTTCTGATAACTCTCACCTTCAGTACAGCTATTATAAAAATCCTAGATCAAAAGACTGCAAGGTATAACCTCAACTCACACAGATAACAGGGAAAGTCAGTAGCTCTGCAAGGAAACTTCCTATGAATGGCAGATACAGATATGCTAAT